GCCCGCTGTGGCCTCAGCTTGCTTCGTGAGGCCAGGGCGCCCGCACTTGGGGCCCAGGGAATGAGGCCGACACACCCCGCCAACAGTTGGCCCGGAGATGGGCTTCTTACGCAGGGTTGGCGGGGCGTTGAAGTGTGGGCGGTGGTGCAGGGGAGCAGAAAACTGCTGAAGGGAGGCCCGGGAGAGGCGGTGGGTTTGGAGCTTGTGGAAGTAGAAAGATTAGGGGTGAGGGGTGCGGGTCCTGGGGCATGGGGTGGGCGGCCTGGCTACTCCTGCCTTCCTGGGAGCCCCTGGGCCATGCAGCACTCCCTGGAGACCGACTGGGGCACTCTGTGTTTAGGGTGTGTGACGGATGAGCTGGCGCCCCGGGTCACAGCCAGACAGCCAGAGGGAGGCGGCAGTGGTGGGTGGGCAGAGGAGGCGTGCCCCCTGGCCTGGGAGGCCCCGGGGCGGGCCGGTCCCGCCCTACCGTCACAGCCTCCACTTGGCCCCAACTTTTGGCTGTGGTCTCACTGCCAGCAGTGTGGGCCCCTAGAGCCACCAGCGCGACTGGGACCACAGCACCTGCCCTTGGTCCCTGCAGCCACTCGCTCGGGTGCCGGGAGGTGAGGGCACGAGGTGTGGAAGCCGGTGAGGAGTTGTGGGGTGGTGTTGGGCACCCAAGCTGTAGCTCTGTACCCTTCTTCCACATCCCCGAGAAGGGGTGTGTGTTCTGCTGGCTCCATCTCTGGAGCTTTGGGGGGGTGGTGGGTGTCCATCTCCCTGTCTGTGTGTCTGAGCCTGGCTCTCCACGTCTGTGTTCTGCTCAGCCTGGGCCTCCTTCTGCTTAATTCAGCCTCCAGCCTTTCTGTTCCTGGAGCAGAGTCTAGGTGACTCCGGGGCCCAGTGCTCCCTAGGGTCCAGCAGTGGCGTTGCAAGGACGGCCCCCAGGTGTACGGTGAGCTCTCCACAGGGAAGCAGAGCTGGCCTTTGGTGGGAGAACCAAACCAAACACCCACAGCCAGCAAGTCCGTTCTGACACGAGTCACCCAGAGTGGTTCTGAGGCTGTGCATCTGCACAGGAGCAGACAGCCTCAGCCTTCCCCCGCAGAGTGGCCAGTGGGTTTGAACCGTTGACTCTGTAGTTAACGGTCCAACCTGTGTCCAACCCCACCCCCAATGCTCAATTCCAAACTCACTGCCACTGAGTGGGTTCTGACCCACAGCGGGGTCCTAGGACAGGTAGGCTTGCCCTGTGGCTTCCTGAGGTTAAAATCCTAACAGGAGCAGAACGCCGAGTGCTGGGTTCAAACTGCTGTCCTTGTTGTTAACAACCCAACATGTAACTCACCGCCCACTGCCTCAACGCTCCTTCCTTCAGTGAAGAGGGCTGGGGGCTAAACTAAGCCAAACCCACTGCCACTAAGTTGATTTTGACTCATAATGACCCTACAGAACAGCGTAGAACTGCCCCCCTGTGGCTGTATTCCCATTAAGATTTACATCCTCCGTCCCACAAGGCTGTAACTCCTTACAGAAGTAGAAAGCCTCATCTTTCTTCCATGGTGCTACTGGTGGTTTTGAACTGCTGACCTTGCAGTGAGCAGCCCAACATGTAACCCACTATTCCACCAGAGCTCCTTGTGAAGGGGGCAGCGTGTTAAGACTCCATCGGGGGCCCTGGTCCTGTTCCTAGTAGCCTCTTGCTGTGTGGGGTGTGTGTGTGTGTGTGTGTGTGTGTG